GATAAGCTGTCTGATCTCGATATCAAGGGCATTCTCGATGCACTTGGTCCCATCCTCAAGAAGGACGCCATCGAAGGTCTCGTTGGTCTTTTGAACAACGCCGAAGACCTGCTCGACAAGGAGACTGTGAAGAACATCAAGTCTCTGCTTACTAGCGCCGGCCCTCTCATCAACGAATTGAAGAAGATTGATCTCGCTGGCGTTCTCAATGCCCTTGCACCTATCCTCACCAAGGACTCCATCAAGGGCATCGTTAGATTGTTGGGCAATGCCGAGAGCCTCTTGACCAAGGATTTTGTCGACGACACAAAGAAGCTCATCTCTAACGCTAGCCCGCTTTTGGTCAGCCTCGGCAAGATTGATCTCAAGGGTCTTCTCGATTCGCTTGCGCCTCTTCTTACCAAGGATTCGATCAAGGGCATTGTTGGTCTTTTGGGTAACGCTGAGAACTTGCTCACCAAAGACTTCGTCTCTCAGACTAAGAGTTTGATCTCCAAGGCTTCGCCTCTTCTGGACAGCTTGGATGATGCTGATCTCAAGGGTCTGCTTGATCAAGTCGGTCCTCTCCTCAAGGAGGTCGGCAAGCTCAAGCTTCAAGACATTATCAGTGCCGTCGCACCCCTTCTCACCAAGGATTCCATCAACGGCATCGTTGGACTCCTCGACAATGCCGAGAACCTCCTTACTAAGCAGTTTGTCTCTCAGACCAAGTCTCTCATCGGAAAGGCTTCCCCTCTTCTTGACAGTCTTGATAAGGCTGATCTTGCCGGCTTACTCGATCAAGTCGGTCCTCTCCTCAAGGAAGTCGGCAAGCTTAAGCTTCAGGACATCTTGAGCGCAGTTCAGCCACTGCTTACGAAGGACTCTATCAACGGCATCGTCGGTCTACTTGACAACGCTGAGAATCTCCTCACCAAGGATTTCGTTTCCCAGACCAAGTCTCTTATCTCCAAGGCTGGACCTCTCATTACCAGCGTATCCAAGCTCAACCTTGAGGATCTGCTCGATCAAGTTGAGCCACTTCTCAAGATGCTCGGCAAGCTCGATCTCGAGGGCATTCTCAGCTCTCTTGCGCCTCTTCTCACCAAGGACTCAATCAAGGGCATCGTGCGCCTCGTTGATAACGCTGAGAATCTGTTGACATCTAAATTCGTCAACGAGACTCAGACACTTATCTCTGGCGCTGTTCCCCTGATCTCCTCGCTGGATGACGCTGATCTGCCCGAACTGCTGGACCAGGTAGGCCCTCTGCTGAAGGAGATTGGCAAGATTGATCTTGTCAAGCTTGTCAAGAAGCTGTCACCTCTTCTCGATGAGATCAGCGATTTGGACATCAAGGGTATCTTTGACGCACTTGCGCCGCTACTCTCACAAAAGGGCGTCAAGGGTATCATGGATCTTCTTGGCAACGCTGAGGACCTGCTCACACCAAAGTTCGTCAACCAGACCCAGACTCTCATCGGCGAAGCCGTACCTCTTGTTGAGGCGCTTGGAGACATCGATCTCAAGAAGCTCATCAAACAACTCCAGCCTCTTCTTGAGGCCCTTGGCGAGATTGACTTGGGAGATCTCATCAAGAAGGTCAAGCCACTTCTCAATGCTCTCATGAAGATCGATCTTGTCAAGCTGGTCAATAAGCTTCTGCCACTACTTGATACTCTGGACGGCATCGACCTGGATGGTTTGCTCAAGGCAATCGAGCCTCTTCTCACACCCAAGAGCATCAAGGGTATTGTTGGTCTCGTTGACAACGCTGAAGATCTCCTCACTGCCAAGTTCGTCAACCAGACACAGACCCTCATTTCGGGGGCAGTACCATTGATTGAGGTCTTGAATAAGCTCGACCTCGAGGAGCTCTTTGAGATCATTGAACCTCTGCTCAAGGAGCTGGACGGTCTCGATCTTACTGGTCTTGTCGACGCTGCCAAGCCTCTGCTCAAGGCCCTCAAGAAGATTGACGTCCAGGGCATTGTCGATGCAGTGGTGCCATTCCTTAACCCCAAGACCATCAAGGGTCTTCTCGGCCTGGTTGGAAATGCTGAGGATCTACTTACCAAGAACTTCGTCAACCAAGTATCCGAACTCATTGGAGACGCGACACCTGTAAGTCAAAGCTCACGATTCTACTACGAAACTATACTAATTGCTGGCCCTAGCTTGTTGCGACGGTAGGAGACTTGGTACATGCCGTACTCAAGGAATTAGTGGGACGGTCTTAATGTGATAATTGGGTTATGAACGTGGTTACGTGACGGGATGTTTTAATCATGTATTAATGAGTTTGGATATTTGACGTATACGATACCCTATGAATGCGCCTCTATGGTGCCATAATGAAACTGTCTTTATCCGTATCTAAAAGCGCTGCCAAGTGAATATGTTTGCTAGATCTCACTATAGTCGTCCTGGCATAAGACAGATGGCGGATGATTTGCGCATGGCAGAGTAGTACCCGTCGGCATACGCCGCACTGCAAAATCAATTCATCTTGCCCGTTTAGGTCTCTTTGCCTTGGAGTATTCGCGATGCCAGCGAGATTGAGCAAAAATAACATGCGCCTCTCCGATAAGCTCGTGACATGCATTCGCGTAGATGACTGTTCTGGACACGCCTCTATCAGCGCGACAAGGTGCCATTTTGTCTCGGTATGTCTCGGTGAGACTCCGCTGCTTGCTTTTTTGCGCGAAACAGTTGCGGCAGACAAGGCCTAGGGAATAGCATGGGGGGCGTGGGCAGCCTGTAACCTGACTAGACGTGGGAGCCTGGCTCGCCGGTAACTTACTCGCAACCCTGTCCAAAACCGTTTCTCTCAGGCCTTCAATCCAAGCCCCCGAGCTAAGTTCCCCAGAATCTTGACACATGCAAAGCATCTCTCTCGGCTTTCGGTTGAAGACCTAACTAAGGCGATGGGAACTATCGCAAACTAGACTCGTTGGGGATTTGACAAACCTGTTCGATGCACACACTTTAGTCTGCAGAGAAAGTGAGGGGAAGTGATCATGTGCCGGATCGTCTGCCCATCACTTATCAGATTCGAGTCTGGTTCGTATTCACACCCTGGCCCCCGGCCTGTTAGTGCTATACCCCGCTTGCAGATCAGAATTTCCAGGATGGCACCAGCTGGGATGGGCCTGGTTAGTGCATTCAATAGTTTGGCGGACCCTGGTATAACTTTAGAGGCCCGTCTTTCGCGCTTGGGCGACCAAATTCAGGGCAGGTCTTGGCCTAAGACCCTCGCTGTTCTGCCTTAAGTCTGAGTCGTCTGTGGAGCATTCCATTCTTCCTCTGAGGCATTGGTGATTGTCACAATTGCTTACGGTCAATTGTCTTGTCTCGGTCGATTACAATGGCTTCTGAGAGAGAACCTACAGCGGCGGGCGCTGATACTTCTGCGCCTGCAGAGACGACAAATGCTGCTGCTGGCGGCGAACAGAACGCGCCGGCTACTGATGCTGCCAGCAATGACGCCTCTTCCGACGACCATGTTCGCGATGAGAAGGTCGCTGCAGGCCCAACCAAATGGCAAAAGGTGAAGGGTCATTTCTGGCGATACAAATGGTGGTATCTCTTACTTATCGCTGTTCTTCTTGCCATTTTATTGCCACTACTGTGAGTCTTGTCCCATCAAATTGAGTGAGAATCTCTTCTGACAATGCGCCAGCTTCACTGTCATCATTCCTGCAATCGTCCAAGACATTCTCAATGACCAGAAGCTCCCCATTTACGGCGGCGCTTTACAAGTCATTTCTCCATCCGAAGTAAACATGAGTATCGAGACGCAATTGAAGACGCCAATCGCTGCGACTCTCAAGCCAATGGATCTCTTGCTCTACAGCAAGGAAACAAAGCCCGTGTCCTCATTCTTCAAGCTCAAATTCCCCGAAGTGCACATCAAGAGCCACACTAATGTCACCGTCACCAATCAGACACTCCTGGTGACAAATGAGACCGAGCTGACGAAGTGGTTCAATGTCTTCTTCGACCAACCCGATGCCGAATTGTCGTTGGAGGGCAAGCCTGAGATTAGGCTTGGCTCTCTGAAGTATCACCGCAGTTTGAAGAAGACTGTTGACATTGCTTCTCTCAATTATCTTGATGGCTTTGCGCTCAAGAGCTTAGACTTTGATCTGAATTCCAATCGCACCACAAAGAGCAACATGAAGGGAATGCTAAACATCCCCAACGCTGGAGTCCTTCGACTTGGTCTCGGCAATCTAACATTCAACGTCATGTCGGGCGATATTAGACTCGGTCTCATCAATCTCTGGGACTTGCAGCTCTGGCCTGGTAATAACTCCGTACCTTTTGACGGAAACTTCTACTTCGACCAGCTGGTTCCCAACCTCTCTGAGATCCTCGATATGCAAAAGGGACCTCTTGGTAATGGTTACCTAGAGTTCAACGCGACAGGAAACACCACCATTGCGGGTGGTGAGCACATCAAGTACATTGAGGGAGTCTTGAACAACAAGCATATCAGATTCACCTTCCCCGTGATCACCCTGCTGGGCGACGTCCTTGGTGGCTTGCTGGATGCCAACCAAGGCTCGCTTCTGGACATCTTTGGTACTTCGATTGGCAATTCGACGTTGCTTGAACACGTACTAGGTCACTGGGACAATAACGGTGAAGGAGGATCTTCTTCTTCTTCTAATAATAATACTGCACGAAGCCTGACGGAGAGGAGTAAGACCAGAGCACCAAAGGCCTGGATGTGGAGTCTTCTGAAATTGGGTTTAACGAGAAGGAGTTTATGAGTATGATAATGTAGTCCTGGTTTTAATGTCATCTGATGCCTTTTACTGGATGAAGTCGCTGATCTGACCGTGATTGTTAAATGAAAACTCGAGTACTAAGTCCCATATCTTCTCAGCAAAGCTGCCGATGATGTTGTAGCGTTCGAGTAGCATAGTTGTTGTTTCTTTCCAGCGCATATGCTTACTGTTCTTTTTCTTCTCCCTTCCATCCTCATTATCATCTCAGGCCCAGTTGTATCACTATCAAGCCTTCACAAGCGCAGCCTTCTTGGCAACATCACCTTTCACAAAAGCCGCAAGCTCGTCAAGGTACCGCACATTAGCTGCCTCAAGTTGTTTTGATACCCACGAGAGCTTCATCGCATATGCTGCAAGGCCACCCAAAGACTCCCAGTTCTTGACTTCACACGCATCTGGCCCCTTGGCAGTGACAACTTGTACCCGCTCAAGGGTTGCAGCCCACAAGGGTAGGTAATTGCTCTTCCATGCCAGCTTAGATTGTTGCTCCCCGTGGCTTAATATTAGGATCTGTACGCGCCTTAGATAGAGCTCATAACTGACTTTATATACTGGGACATACCTCAATTGGGATTTTCATGATGTCGTCACCGCTATCGGTCAGAGTCTCCAGAATCCCGTTGGCTCCTGGCTCCCCCGCTTCTGAAGCTTCAGTATCGATGAATGTGAGTCTGGGAGTCCAAGTGTTCCACTCGCTGTATCTTCTAAAATCGACCATGGCATTGAACAACTCTTTAGCAGGTGCATCAATCACGATAGTGCTTCCGGTGGTGAAGACAATTCGACCCGTACCCAGGGATGGTGTTGCTGTCGGAGTTGTCCACCCAACTGCCATTGGCGCTTCCACGATCAGAAACACAAGCTGGAGGTTCAATGACACCAGGTATAACAAATCTTGGAAGAGTTAAATGCCAATAAACAAACAAATTCATGAGGCTCTCTTTACAACAGATCTATATCTCACACGTGACGTAAGAAACTCCAACAACGTCTCATAATGTCTCGAGACTAACCGAGTCAAGACATTCAAAAGGCTAGCCCGGTTTAAACTTTGCTTATTCACTTTGTTTTCTCTTCACCAGTCCGCAGATGCATGAAACCGTAATTTAAAGACTCGGACCATCCTGATACTAATCACCATTGCTTGATTCTTGTGTTCTTCTTCACGAACAGAGGCAAGCAATATTGGGCCATCTTCTATATACAATACATAGAAGTATTGGGAGAACTGAGGATAGACTTGGCAGAGATTTAGATTACTTGCTTTTGCTCATTGTACCAACGACCAGAAGGTTCCTTGCTCCTTCAGGCTTCATCAAGTGTCGACTAATGTTTGGAACTAGGGCCTTGGGCACGTATCATCGGCATTTCTAAATTGATCTCAGACTAATTCACCTGCTCCAGAATTGAAAGTTTGTTTCGAACCACCAGCCGTTCGAAGAAAGTTCCCTCACTCTCAAAAGATAAATTGTAGGAAAGGATGGGCGCTGCGGCTAACCTTCAAGAGTCCACCCTGTCTTTAAAATATCATTCAGTGACTCACTGATCCCTGGGGCTTGGGTTTGACGGAGGAGTTTTCTTGAGTGTAATGGCGACCTTATCGTCAGATTGGCCAGCATCTGATGCATTCCAACCAATGACATAAACACCGTCGATCTCCGATGGCGTGGCATACCAAAGCGAAGTCATTTGCCCATTCTCTTCGACCATGACAAAAGTGCCATATGTCATCAGATCAAATACATAACCGTCGGCATCGGTCGTGCTGTTGATCAGCTTGACGCTGTGAGAAGACGATGATGGTCCCGGAACAGCGAAAGTAAGATTGGACCAGCTCGGATCACGTCCTTTGGCATAGCCAGTCGTGTTTGGAGAGGCATACCACGCATCATCCCCTATGGTAACTGAGTAGTGTCAATAAGATTCAAACTGGAAAGACACTTTACTTACACAGAATCGGGGCGGCCTCATCGTTGTCAACCTTGCTGAAGTTTCCAACAAAGATCTCATCTAATGTTTCTATAAGCATACCTCACAGAACGATAGACAGACACGTACCGCCAGAAGAAAAGATGGGAAGGCCGCCGACCCCAGTTCCATAAGCGTAGAGAGAAAAGGGACCGTTGTTGCTAGCAGCAGTAGCAGCAGTCACCAGAAGCGACGCTGCAAAAGTGGTGAGTCCAAGATGATGCATTTTTCGAAATACTGTATCGCTGATATGATGGAGAAGAATGGGGCAACTAACCAGATTATATGATAACAAGATGCGTTAATAGACCAATACGGGGGTTGTGGCTGTGAGCCCACAAGACGGGGCCCCGTTGAATACGTAATCGGTATAACGGAGCGTTTATCGATATCTCGAGGTCTTATTGCCGACGAAACGCTGACGCGGAAACGGGGGGAACACAGCCCTTTCCGTTCCTGGACATCCTCCGGACGGACCGATCCGCTGCAATGTGACGATAAATTTGTCCTTCAGCCAATCCTATTTGTTCTTTGGTGTTTCCTATCTACTCACGAGATCGTTCCACTACTAAAGTTCTTTTTAAGTCTATACAGATGGCACGGAATGTGGGCGACCGCTGGTTGTAAACCTCCGTGATCGTCCCGGCAGTTGTGAAACGGCCGAGCGTGTTCACGAGACTTCATTTCTGGCACTGACGACGACTTGTCTCAATACTCCATCTCTAAGAGGTCCGTGATACGAGAAGTTCCTTTGTAGAATGATAGGTCTGTTTTACGTGGGCAGATGAGCTTCCTAAACGGACAGCTCGAGGGCTGGACTGAAATATTTAAGAATAGGCTGTAGAGGAAGAATAGGAGTAAAAAATAACACAAATCATTCAAACTTCTTTCTTATCTCCTAAAGTACTATAATTCTCTGTATTTGAAGTCCTTGGTTGAGATTCAGCTCGTGTCGGCAGAAATGAAGCTCTTGCATTTTCTCCCGGTAGGCATTCTCTACCTCAGCCAAGTTCAGGCTCGAAGCCCTCTTCACCAGCTGAACCGCCGCGCCTGCAGTGGAAACACCGCTTCTACTCGCTCGGAGTGGTGCGACTACTCCATTGACACGGACTACAGCACTGAAGCTGTAGATACCGGCGTCACTCGCGAGTACTGGCTAGAGCTGACGGACGTTACTGTTGCCCCTGATGGCTACTCTCGCTCAGCCATGGCCGTCAACGGTACTATTCCGGGACCTACTCTCTTTGCTGACTGGGGTGACACTGTTGTCATTCACGTCACAAACTCTCTCAGCACTTCTCTGAATGGTACCAGCATGCACTGGCATGGTATTCGCCAGAACTACACCAACCAGTATGATGGTGTATCATCTATCACTCAATGCCCGCTTGCCGTTGGGGAGTCTGTGACTTATACCTGGAAGGCCACCCAGTATGGCTCAACTTGGTATCACTCCCACTGGGCTCTGCAGGCGTGGCAAGGCATCTTCGGCGGTATCATCATCAACGGACCTGCCACGTCAGACTACGATGAGGATCTTGGCATGGTATTTCTCAATGACTGGGACCATCAGACCGTCGATGAGTTGTATAGTTCAGCTGAAACCAATGGACCTCCCACTTTGGACAATGGTCTCATCAACGGTACAAACGTCTACGGGGACGACGACAGTTCTTCTCAAACAGGCACTCGCTTCAATGTCTCGTTTGAGTCTGGCACTTCCTACCGTATGAGACTTGTCAATGCCGCAGTTGACACCCACTGGAAGTTCTCGATCGACAACCATACCTTGACTGTGATCGCAGCAGACCTTGTACCAATTGAGCCATACGAAACCACAGTTCTGGACTTGGGCATGGGTAAGAGTGTTCTTCGTCGATCTTTCTTAGATCTAACTAACCTTTGTAGGCCAACGCTACGATATCGTAGTCACTGCAGATCAAGCCGACGTCGCCGACAACTTCTGGATGCGCGCCATCCCACAGGCCGCCTGTTCCGATAACGACTCCACCGATAACATCAAGGGCATCGTCTACTATGGAGACAGCCCCAGCACGCCATCCACTACTGCCTACGACTACACCGACGGTTGCGACGACGAGACGGATAATATTGTACCGTACATATCCAAGACAGTTGAAGATGCCAACTGGAATGATCTTGAGACGGCTACAGTTGGCAAGAACACAGCTGGTCTGTTCAAGTGGATGCTCAACAGCACCAGTATGTTGGTGGACTGGGCAAACCCTACACTGGCCCAGGTCCTCAACGATACAACTGGCTTTGAGACTGATGATGCGGTGATTGAACTCAGCGACGGGAACCAATGGGTCTACTTCGTTATTGAGACGACTCTCCCAGTACCCCATCCCATTCATCTCCACGGACACGACTTCTTTATCTTGGCCCAAGGGACGGGTACTTATTCTTCCTCTATCACCCTGAACACAGATAACCCTCCTCGACGAGACACTGCTATGCTGCCTGCCAACGGGTATCTGGTGATGGCTTGGGAGACTGACAATCCTGGCGTTTGGCTGTGCCACTGTCATATTGGTAAGTCAAGGAGGTCTTAGATCTAGGGCATTACTGACTTTGTGAAACTTCAGGTTGGCATACATCTGAGGGATTCGCGTTGCAATTCCTCGAACGTTCAAGCGAGATTGCTGACATCTCTACATCGAGCTATGTTTCGGACGTTTGCGATGGCTGGAGTACTTTCCAGAGTGAGTCGTCGATCGAGCAGGAGGATTCTGGTGTTTAACACCACAAGCATCTCTAATGTGTAGGAGCTATTCGCTGCTGACTGAAGCTGCGGGAATAATTAATTGTTTATCAGTGGCTACAAATGTATTCTTCTTATTGGCGGGCGTCGCCAACAGCAACCACTATAGCAAATGATCCATTCCTGCCTCATCAACCTTGAGCACCGTCCAATTCTCCATTCGCTTGGCCCCAAGCTTCTCATAAAACCTCAGTGCTCTTGTGTTATCCTTCAGGCAGAGCCACTCCATCTTTACGCAGCCTACTTTCTTAGCCACTGATGTCATAGCTTCGACCAACTTCCGCGCGTATCCGTGAGGTCTGTATTCCGGGACGACGTAAATCTCCTCCATGCAGACTCCAGGAGCAGCCCCCCATGTCGTGTAGTTGAAGAAGTAGATCAATAATCCAGCGGGCTTCCCATCTGGTGAGAAGGCCAAGATGGGATGTCCGATCCGGTATTCGGGAGAGCCGGTGACGTCTGACAAGTGGAGTGTCTTTGCCAGACGCTCCTCGGTGGCAGTGACAACTGTTCCTGGTGCTTGCTCTTCTGCGCCAGCACGGATTAAACTCAAGATAGTAGGAATATCTACATGAAAAGTTAGTCGAGGGACAAACAGTCGTATTTACAAAAGGACCTTGAGAAGACGCAGGACGGATTTCAGGCGAGGAGGTCATTTCGAACAATGAATCTTCAATATTGGTAGAGGCACTTAAATTCAATTTACTATTCCTCAAAGAAGAAAGTATCATGTAGTAGTCTTTCAGATTACTGGTCTTTTTCTGAAAGATACATCTTATTTATACTGATTCCCTCAAGAAGTAGCTCCACGCCCTATTCGTGACAGGTGGAGTTTGGGCTGATTAACTGGTGGTGCTCAATGACTCACGCGGCTTGTCAAACTAAATGACTCATTCGATCCTCTTTCCTGCAAAAGGATCAACGAAGCACATATAATCCACTAAATAATGCAGTACCATGCCAACAGCGCTCTCACAGACACCCACAGCGATAGGAAGAATTACTGATAATTAACAGATCAAAGCCCGATAACGATCTAAACCCTGCACCCTTCTGAAGGGACGTCTATCAAGGAACTTGCT